CTCTTGCTGATGACAGGACAGCTCTGGGCAGTATCATCAACTGATCAGTCTGTTCATTACTGAATCCCTGTAAGTGACAGAGGAAGAACTAGTCTGACATTGCAGTGTTTAAATTTTATTCATGAAAAATATGAATATACATGAATAATGGATTCACCAACACTATAACAATAGTGTAATAATGCTGAGTTGGACTGGAGCTGGAGTGCATGGTTCTTTTTTTTTTTAAGATTTTTTAAATTTATTTATATAAGAGTTGGGGTACAGGCCAGAGGCACAGGAGGGTGACAGGATTCACCAGAGACAGAGCTGGGAGCAGAACAGGCAGACAGACTGGACCGAAAGCACTGCTGAGGGGAGCTGGGGAAGGGGGTATTCAGGAGAGGTCTGCCACGCCATGTGGGTATCTCCCTGGTTGGCCCGGAATGGAACCCATGCTACAGAGGCTGCGGACAGCTTCACAGTCCTGTGCTCAACCTGCTACACTACCGGGGAGGCCCTTTTTTTTTTTTTCCTAAAGATTTATTTATTTATGCATACAAGAGCTGGGGTGTAGGCAGGAGGTGCAGGGAGGGGTGGGCCGGGGGTGAAAGGATTCACCAGAGATACTGAAATACACTGCTGAGGGGAGTAGCAGGGCAAGACAGGAGAGGTCTTGTCTTGTGGGTTAGCTCTCTGGCCAGGGATCGAACTATGAAGTGACTGCAGTGGCTGCTGATAGCTTAATAGTGCTGAGGCTTAACTCTCTGAGCCACTAGGGAGGCCCCTGGAAGGCATGGTTCTTAACCTCTCTGTGCTTTAGTTTCCTCAATTGTAAAATGGAGATAGCAGTAGGTCTTATTTCGTAAACTATTTTTGCGTGAAAATATATTTAATACATTCAGTACTTCAAAGAGAGTCTGGTATATTTTAAGTGCTGACATATTTTTAAAAAACAACAGTAAAACATATAAATCATTGTAATAAGTGCTGCAGAAAATTTCCTTTTAAGAATTTTTATTCCAGTGAGATCTAATCAGTTCTCAAAATCTCTTTTTCAAGTACCCTTTCCAGATTTTTTTTTTTGGGGGGGGGGTCTTTTTGACTTACCACTTCACTGCACTAGAAATAAATAAACCTGTCCAAGGTATGTAAGATCTGAGAAAGGGAAAATTGAGGCACTCCAGTAAACAACCAGCACTAACCAATTATGGGGCACTGAGTAAGCTCAACTGTGTGCTTATGATCCAGCAGTTACCCCACAGCTGACTGCAGCAATAGGAGAATCCCCAAGGAGACCCAAGCAGGAACCATCAACTAGCCCACAGAATGGTGAGAAACAAGAAATAATACAATCTGCTGTATGTCATAGCAAAGCATAATTAAAAGATAACTTTTAATTTTGCTGTTCATGGTAGACACACTAACGTTCTGAATATTCTACATATAGGCATTGATACACATAGCTATTTCCACTTCTAAAAACTCCAAGTAGGACATTTTACATATATTTACATATCTACTTATACTTAAAAACAGCTTCTTTTTAAATCACACCATATTATGTACTTCTGTATGAATAATTATATATTTATACTATGATTTTTGGTGGTTGCTCTATACATTATGATTTATACACCAGTCACTTATTGATTAAACACTAATTGCTTTAATTTTTTGCCACTGCAGGAAATGCATTGAACATCCTTGAACACACTTCTTTTCACACATCAACGATTATTTCCTGCTTGTGAAATTACTAGGTCAAAGATGTATTTGTTTTCAAGTTTTGATTACGTATCATCTAACTGTTCTCCAAATAACTTTCACAAATTCTTATTCTTAGGGTGAATGATTCAGTGTCTCTTTTGCCTACACTTTTACCAACACTGGGTATTTTCTCTCTCATTTTAAAAATAGATCAACAAAAAATCTTTGTCAGAACACTGAACTTACCAAGCATCTTACTCAGCTTGGATGTCTTATATTATTATTTTAGCATTTCAGATGTAGTTAATCAGTCAAGTTATAAACTTCAAGAAGCCCAGTACTTAGCACTTAAATGCAACTAATAAGTATTTGTGAAATACATGAATAAAGGATATATAAGTTAGGACTATAGGTAATAATACTAGTCATACAACACTAGTATCAGGCAAGACTATGTTAAATTAAGAGCATGGAACTTTAATTTATGAGAAACCTCCTTCTGGCCACTATAGAGAAGTTGCCTAACTGTTTTTGACATCTGAGCTAGTTGAATATGAAAACTATGCTTTCAGTCAAATGAGATAGTGCAGCATCAAACTTGCAAAGTGGGTGTCAATGGATAGGTAACAAATCCCAGAGACAAGATTCCTTTAGGGAATGCTGCATGATCAATGGTGTCACACATGAAAAACATTCATATTGATGTTCTCTAAAAGGGATTTAGAAGAATGAGAGTCAATGTCCAAACCTTGTAGGAATACTTAAATCAATTTACTTTGCTTATCTTTGCCTTTTCTACATACATATATCACTAAGATATCTAAGGGTAAAAACACTTTCAATAAGAGTAAGACAAAAATCCTACATAACACACTGTGTCATAGTTTAATTAGCAGCTGTTTTCTTGGTGGTACATATAATCAGAGATGACTTAGATTTGATAGAAATGATAAATTGAATGGAGGCTAAGATAGCCTGTGAATTTCTAAAACTTTAGTGAAGGAACAGAGATTGGTGTCTTGTTACTGTCGCTTTGGAGGGTTAATAGGGATGAGGAAGACTCTCTCTGGTGAGTCTTCTCACCCCCCACCCCTGCACTTCTGGTCTACATCCCAGTTCTTGTAATGCATAAATAAATAAATCTTAAAAAAAATTCTAATAATTTTTTGATGCATTTCTTCTAGTTTACAAAACTATCTCAGATAGAAGTAATATATATGTAATTATGTATTACATATATATTCAATATACTGTATTTGGTCTGTATAGATGGTATAAAGAAGCATGAGAAACATCGTGCTTACTCTCACTACCCAGTGACAGCCTCTTAATATTTTTGGCACTAAATTCACTGTGTCTAAAAGCAAAAACAGGCAGCCTAACTAGCACAGTAGGTGCTTGCTATGTCCCTATAGAATGCATGAGTGCTGAAAGAGAACTTGGAGAACAGCCCAAACGTCTTGCTAATAGAATTCATTACACTGCTCTTAGGTCTAAACCTCACTTGTCTTCTCAAGTTTGCCTTATTCGCCTCACATCACAGGCACTTGGCCAGGACACACTGACTTTCTACTATTTGGCAACAACACTTTGGGAGGGATGGTTACAGTCCTCACTTCATTCCACTCATTCATTCATTTATTTCTTCATTTGACAAATATTTACTAAGCCTCCACCATGTGCCTGGAACACAGTTGTAAACAAATAAAGATGGCCCCTGTCCTCCTGTAGCTTACATTCTAACATGGGCCTTCCTGGTGGCACAAGGGGTTAAGACGCAACCTATGAAACTAGCCACAACCACTGAAGCGCAAGTTTGATCCTGGGCCAGGGAGCTACCCACATGGCACAGCAGACCTCTCCTGTCTCCCTCTCTGCCCCCCTCAGCAGTGTATTTCAGTCAACCTGCCTGTTCTGTTCCCCGCTCTGTCTCTGGTGAATCCTCTCACCCCCCACACCTCTGGCCTGTACCCCAGTTCTTGTATGCATAAATAAATAAATCTTAAAAATAAAAAAGAGAACATAGAGAACAAGCAATTACAGAATTATAAACATACGTGGTAATTTCTGTTGTTTGCAAATTATGAGAGTGAAAAAAGAGAACAGGTGGTTGGGACAAGTAATAAGCGTGACAATGTCTGATTTAGAGGTCAGCAGAGGCCTCTCTAACATGACAGGTCAGTAGGTCAAGGAACGTGGGGAATGGTTAGAGGCAGGCCAACTCAGAGCATGACCTACTAGGTGAGGAGGAAAGGAACTAGGTAAAGGCTAGGTGGATGAAGCAAGTGGTGAAGGGCCTCTTGGACCACCAACTAGATTTTGAATTTCATTCTATGTACGATTGGAAAGCAATCCTTTTTATTTATTTATTTTTTTGTAATTTAAGTTGTGCTTATTTTTTTTTTTAAAGATTTATTTATGCATACAAGAACTGGGGTACAGGCCAGAGTTTTTTGGGGGGTGAGAGGATTCACCAGAGACAGTGGGGAACAGAACAGGCAGACTGACCGAAATACACTGCTGAAGAGAGCAGCGAGTGAGACAGGACAGGTCTGCTGCGCCATGTAGGTAGCTCCCTGGCCAGGGAAGGAACCCGTGCTGCAGTGGCCGCAGACAGCCTCATAGGTTGCCTCTTGACCCCTTGCGCCACCAGGGAGGCCCTAAGTTGTGTTTATTTTAAATAGGTGACTTCACGATTTAAAGTATGCACGCTGGAAAGATCACTGAATAAATGCTCCCTCTCTCTGTTCCCTTGGGCTGACACTCTGAATTCCTCCAGAAACACTCCAGGCACAAACAAGCAAATCTTTCTATAGGGTAAAATATTTTAAGCAGGGGAGAGAGGTCACCCCATTTGCGCTTTAAGACCACAGAAAAACTGAGAGGGGGTTGGCTCTTCGTGTTCAGAGCAAAGCGTTCCACAACCCCACTTGCTACTCTGGTTTCCGGGATTCTATGGGGGAACCCCCCCCTCGACCCAGGCATTGCAACCCCGCAGGGCTCACACGCTCCCTCCCTCTCAAAGCTCCCGAAACCACCACGCACCGCGACTCCCTCGCTGCTGCCGCCGCCTGCAGCCTGCACCCCTGTCTGGAGGCTGGAGTTGGGCACCAGCCCAGGTGCGCGAGTGGCTTTTGAACCTAGACGAACGCCGAGCCGAGGCCAGCGGGGCAGGAGGGCGGCGGGTCCCGGATGGCGGCCACCAGGGCTCGCCGCGCCAAGAAGGGGCTGGGCCGAGGCGGGGTCGGTTCGGGGCGGAGCAGGATTGGGGCGGAGCGTCCGCCCCCGGCGGCTGCAGGCTGAGCCGAGCTCCCGCGCCGCGCTCAGCTCCGGGATCGGGCCACCCACGGGGCGGTGGGTGCTCGTCTTCCCCAGCTCTGCGAAGCCCCGGGGGCAAATCCACCTGGGAGCCTGGCAGTCCGCGCCCCAGGGAGCCGACGGCGGGGGCGGGCGACTGCTCGGTGGCGGAGAGTGGCGTCCGGCGGCGAGTTTCCCAAGAGCGCTGAACCCATCCCGAGCCTCCTGTGCATCAGCTCGCACCCCGCGCGGCGGCGGCCGGCTCTTTCCGGCGGGCTGTCTTTGCGCGCGGTGGGGCTTGGAGTGGTTCTCCCGGGCGCAGCGCGGTGCGCGCAGTTTTGGAGAGCAAGGCGGGTAAGTGGCCCGAAGTCGTGTCCGCGAAGCTGCTGGGTGGCGGCCGGGCTCGCCGCGCGCGCGTCTTCCAGGCGCCCTGCCTGTCCGCAGGCAAAGTTCCATGACTTCTTTCCTCTTTTGGCCAGACTAGCTGGGTGCTATTCCCCGCGGGCCTGACCCCCGAGCCTCCGCCATGGACAGCGAAAGCGAAGTGGACTTTTCGAGCAGCAGCTTAACCCCTTTGTGGCGGAGGCGGTCGACCCCTCAACCCCCGTTGCTGGCCCGGAGCAAGCAGAGGCCCCAGTCCTACCAGAGCCCCAGCGGGTTGCTGATCACCGATTTCCGGGTGGAGGACCGAGGCGCGCCCCCGAGGCCGCAGACTCCCCCGCAGCTGCCCACCGCTTCCGACGGCAGCGCGGTCCAGAGGAGCCCCCAGCTGCTGTGCCTGCATCGCAGGGAGGTGACCAATGGGAGCTTGGTGTCCCCGGATTACGGGGCTGTTTCTCCCAGGCTCCGACGGCCCAAGTCTCCCCAGGTCCCCAGAGCGGTTCCAGGCGCCCCCTCGAATGGCACGGTAACCTCGCCTGCGCAGCAGCCGTGTTGCCCCCCGCGGACTCCACCGGCATCGGCTCCTAGCGGCCCTGAGGGGGACCCCACGCGGGTGACTGTCAGCCTCCAGTCTACGCCCGCGGCGAACGGCCTGAACCCCAGTCCCTACGCCCCGGTCTCGGCTTTGCAATCCGGCCAGACAGCTAAAGATCCTGAGCGGGCGCTCTCGAGACTGTCTCCTGCACCGCAGAAAAAATCTTCGGAACAAAAACTGCCCCTCCAAAGGTTACCCTCCCAGGAGAGCCAGGTCCCAGACACCCCCTCCGTGGTCCTGAGCACGCATAGCCTCGCCGCCCTCAAGATGGGGAAGCAGCAAATCATTCCCAAGGGCCTGGCTTCGGAAATTAAATTAAGTAAAAACAGTCAGAATTCGGAGCCCCACAAGAGACTGCACAAGGCGCGCAGCATGGTGGAAGGCCTCGGGGTGCCCCTGGGCTCACCGGAGGACGAAGGCGAGGCAGACAACGAGGTGGACAGCCCCGGCTCTCTGCGCAGAGGCTTGCGTTCTACGTCCTATCGCAGGGCAGTGGTCAGTGGCTTTGATTTTGACAGCCCTACCACCTCCAAGAAGAAGAACAGAATGTCGCAGCCTATTCTGAAAGTAGTGATGGAAGACAGGGAGAAGTTCTCCAGCCTGGGTAGATTAAAGGTAAGAACATGGAAGGGTCACATGTCACTCATTAAGCCAAGCATTCATTAAACCCAAAGTGAAGGTTTTCCAGGTAGGGAGGAGGGCCCAGGGGAAACCTGAAATGTTTGTTGTCTTTTAATTCTATTTGTTCATCAGACTTGTGCACCTTTATTGCTAGGCTATTCTGAGCATGCTTGGCTTCCTACAGCTTCGTTGGGAGCAAGTGAAATTCTTATTGTTTTAATTTTCTAATCTCAGGCAAAATTTGAGGAACAAATGGAAAAAAGAACAGCAAATTAAGTGCCAGCCGAGTCCAGGGAGCTTTTAATGGAGGCAGTTAAGAAAAGGGTGGAGTGCAGGTTAGGTTTGCATCAGCAGTGTCAAGCTGTCTGGTTATGGTTTAGAGATGATATTCAGTGGTTGCTGATTCCTCCCAGCAGACACAGGAAATGACTGACTGCCTTGAGCCTTCTGATTAGTTAAATGATCAAAATTAATCATTTTAATTGTTTACATTAATTATTGAATGATGGTTTTGAGTGGTGATCACATACTAAATGCTATTCAGATAAAATGTGAATTTTAAAATCAATTTCCCGAGACACCAAAAACACAAGGAGTTTGTCATCTTTTTTTGGTGCTTGCTACTCTCAGCATGATCTTTGATTATATTTTATTTCCATTTTGTGCCCATTTAGCCTTTAGCGCATTCAAAACTTCAGGTTAGTGTCAGCTCTGGTATTGTCTCCTAATAAAGGCTGAGGTGCTGCATTATATTACCAAATATGATATAAAGCAATAGGGAATAGTAGAGAGTGATATTTTGGAGTGAGTAAAAAAAAAAAAAAAAATTGTGCTGCTTTCTCCAGAAACAAGACCAGCAGAAGTGTAGAAATTCATTCTGGGGGCACATCTTGTCTTGATGAATCAGGCAATTAGAACCAGTTGATATAAATGTCACATATGTATTACACAAGCAAGCCTTTTTTATTTTAGGATCTCTGGTCTAAACATTTTATGTGCTTTTCTCCCAACTCTGTAAGTATAGCAAAGTTCAACTGAACAGTAATAGTGAATCATAAGTAGTGAAATGAATGAACTTCTGGTCAATTAAGGATTCTCAAGCTGTTTTGATGAGGTGTGGGGGGACATTGTACATTCTTTTCACTGTTTGAGTGAATTAAAGTAGTCACATAAGTGAACTCCAGGGATCATCTGCTGTTTTTGGAAATTTAATGAATGTATCAACAAAAAGTACTTTTTCTTAAAATAAGTATATTTTCTATTTGGCTCATTCATACATAGTTTGCTTTGCTTTTTCCTTTTTGCTTTTCTTGTTTCTTAGAAAAAAATGCTGAAAGAACAAGGAACATTTGATGGGGAAGGTAAGCATTTGATTTTCCAGACTTTTATTGCCGTTTCAATGTGGAATGTCAATTATAAGTTAAAATCCAACTGCAGTAACAAAAACACTTCAGATGAGAAAAAAGTCCAACTTCCAAATTATAGAGTGCAAAAATCTGCACTAAACTAAATTTTCACCTAGAAATACCAATAGTGAATAAAACTAATGTTATTCTTTGTGAACTGATAACTTTGTCAGCTGGTGTCCTGTGATTTTTCATTCTTTTCTACTCAGGCTCTGTCCCCCTGTCTCTCAGAAATTGGAGCAAGCATAATAGTAAACCTTGGCTTGTTAGTTAAAAATTCTAAAAGTTCGGCATATAGATCTTAGGTCATGTTTCCTTTGAAATCATGTTATTTTTCCCTTCTTTCTGTATTTTGGTATTCTGACTTCCTGTTTCTTCATTAAATTTCTATTTGGGGGAACTCTCGAACTCTCCTGGCTGACAGAAATATATCCCTAAGAATTTGTAACCTAAATTGCATTTTTGTTGTGGTTTTCAAACAACAAAAGCAGCTTCAAACAGGTGTTCAAACCCTAATCAGATTATCAGATTTCTGTAAATAAATGTGTCAAGTGTCATGACTGAGCAGCCCCAGCTGCAGGCTTGTGGGGCTGGGGTGTGGTAGAGGTAAAGGCAATTACCTCCTGCCTTACTTGGAAATGCTCAAGGTTTCCAATCTTTAAAGAATAATGAAGAAGGGTATGCCTATAAGTAAATCTATAAGTAAATCTAATGTAAAATCATCCAGAGTTATCAAATATATAACCTTAGATGATGACCGTACATGTTTCATTTTCCTGTACAATTCTCTCTTTTTAATGGTTTATTTATTCATACAAGAACTGGGGTATAGACCAGAGGTATGGGGGCGGGGTGGGATTCACCAGTCAGAGTGGGGAGCAGAACGGGCAGATCTACTGAAATACACTGCTGAGGGGAGCAGCAGGCCACACAGGAGAGAGAGGTCTTCTGTGCCATGTGGGTGAATTCTGTGGCCAGGGATCAAACTTATGCCGTAGTGGTGGGTAATAATAGCTTGACAGTGATGAGACTTTAATCACTGTTCCAACAGGGAGACACTTTCTATCTAATTCTGATCAAAATCAGTTTTCCAATTAAACATGCCTACTTTACAAAAATTCATTCATCGCACCAATCTTAGGAAACTATTCCACATGGAGAAAAACCTAGATATAGTATTTTAGCTGGTTAGAGTAAGGTCATCTCTCTGGTTTTATAACTGAGGAAACTGGAAACTCTGAGAGGTTTGGTGTCTTGTCCATTGTCACAAAGCCTGTGCTGGGACAGAGATCTGGTTTTTAGTCTAGTTTATTTCCTCTTATATCATGTTATGGCCCTGAAATGAATAGTGCATCTAGCTAATAGCTGCTTAGAGAGCTATTTTTCATATTCTGGAACTTGACAATGATTCTGGGACCTTTGCTTCAGAAGGTTAAAAAGTTGAAATTTTTTTTTAAAGTCAGAGGACAGTCATTACTAGTTTTATGTTTGTTTCCTTTCACAAGGAGCTGTTCCTGCATATGCTCTCCTCTTTTCTCAAATTAAATCTTCTCTATTCACCAAGAAATTCTTTTTCACATGTATGTACATGAGAAATGCAGGATCTTTACAGGCAGTGGCTAAACAAAATGTAACTTAGGAAGCAGGCAGTGGAGTGGTAAGAAACTGCATTGTTAGGGCAAGAGAACTGAGTTCCTGGCAGCTTTACTCTCTGCCTGCCTGTGACTATGCAGGTGGCTTTCTTTTTTTCCTTTCTCCTTTTCCTAATAAACCTGCCTTTTTAAAATGTAAAAAAAAAAAAAGGAAAGAAAGAAAGAGACCTGGGTTCCTATCCCACTGCTTTTACTCCACAGCTCAGACATCTGAACCTCACCAAGCCCAGTTTCATCGTGTATAAAATGAGGCTAATGCTACTATTGCCCACGTGTTGTGAGAATGAATGAGATCCTATCAACAGTGCATGCATAGACTTTGGCTGACCCCTGAGTACTTCAAAGGGCACTGCAGAGGTGGGAGAAGCTGGGTCTTTACCCTCCATAACTTGATCTACACGGGCATAACAAACAGAACAGACAAGTCTTGTATCAACTCCAGTATTATTTTTCTTAGCGTCTATACAGAACACATAGTAATTGAGGGAAGGGCAGATATTTGCAGGCTTAAGTAGGTGGAAAAGGCAAACTCATCATGTCCCAAACCAAATTCATAATCTTTTCCACCAGAACTGAATCTTTCTGGGTGTCCCTGTCTTTTATTTTCCGGTTGTGGCATCGAAAGATCTCGGAAACATCCTTCACATGTTCTCTCTTCTTCTCCCACAGGCCCCACATGTGGTCTTTTCTAAGCTGCACAGCCCAAGTCTCGATTATGTTGTCATGACCACCCCAAAGACATCCTTTTTCGCTCCCTAAGTAATCCATGTTTTACTCCCCTTATTTAATCAAGTCTTTCTTTCCAGTGGATTCCCATTGCATTTGGGATAAAAGATAATCTTTCCAGTGTGAACTGAACTTCATCCTCTTGTTCTTAGAATAAGGTTCAGTTCTTTGACATTGTCTGCAAAACTTGGCTTTATCTGGTTTATCTGGGTTCATCTTACTATATTCACACTCCACCCTTCACCCACTTGACACCTAAACTTCAGCCTGTTGATCTTCCTTTGTTCTTCCAAGATATTGTGTTTCCTCTTCGCTTTGAGTCTTTTGCAAATACTTTTTCTTTTAGCTCTGTAACTTCTCAGCTTTCAGATCTTAGATTTTCCTCTGATTCCAAAAAGGGAATCATACCCTGTCAGCCTGTTCTCAGAGCACCCGTATATAAATCTTTTTGTTTGTCCCTATGTATTTTTTTTTTTGTATAAGACTCTTGTGTTTTCAGCCTTGCAATCACTTGCCATATCACTTGAAGTAAAAACCAAAGTCCTTTCAATGGCAATGAGGCAAGACCCTACATTATCCCCCTTCTATTCACCCCAATCCCAAAGTCCTACACTTTCCCTGTCCCTTACCTTATTCCAGCTGGTCAGGCTAGAGATCTGCAAAGGAGACTCCTGCCCCAGGGCCTTTGTACTTACTAATGGAATGTTCTTTCACCAGCTGTACAGGTACTCTTTACTTTCTCATCTCTCCAAGATCTTTGCTTAAATGTCATTGGTGAGTTTTTCCTTAATACCCTGTTTAAAAGATGCAGTCCCCCCGGGGCCTCCCCTGTGGTGCAGCGGTTGAGCTCTGGGTTTCGAAGCTGCCCGCAGCCTCTGCAGCGCCTGTTCGATCCCCGGCCTCCAGGCGAGGGTCCCACATGGCGTGCAGACCTCTCCTGCCACGCCTGCTGCTCCCCTCAGCAGTGTACTTTGGTCCTTCTGCCTGTTCTGCTCTCCACTCCGGCTCTGCTGAATTCTCTCACCCTCCCGCATTTCTGACTGAACCCAGGGCTTGTATAAATAAATAAATAAATAAATCTTTAAAAAAAAATCTGCAGTCCCCCCAACTCTGCCCTCCTCCTCTGTTTTTTTCTTTGACACTTGCCAACATCTGACATACTGTAAAAAATCATTTGTTTATTTATTGTCACTCTCCTGTCTATGATTTTTTTCTCTTTTGTTCATTATCATATTTCCAGTGCCTAGTAGGTGTTGGTACCTAGTGAACACTTTCCAAATATCAGTTCCATGAAGAAATAAATGAGTGACTTTATTTTTCTCATTATATTGTTAGCTCATGAAGGCACAAGAAGTGGCTTTTATTTTCCAATATGCCCTTGCCATATTGTAGACATATAGGATATGTTTATTAAAAGGACAACAGAATAGTGATGAACCTTAAAGGAAAGATAGGGTTTAAATTCAGCTTCACCTACAAATTAACAGTGATTTAACAGGTAAGACTCTTTCATGGGTGTTGGACAGAGACATGGAAATTTTGCCTCATTGGCATTTCACCTATGAACCCCTCACTATTTCCTGCAGATGAATTTTGGGCAGAGCTATCTGAATGAGAAAGTCACTTTTTGGTAATGACTCTTCATGAAGTCCATTTGTCTCTTTGCTTATTAAATTGGGGACCTACATTCTATAAATATTGATGTTTGTTTAGAATAAGCAGCATGATGATTGGGGCAATTAGTAATGTGTAGGGTTTGTTTCTCTTGCAGAAAATGCTGTCTTGTATCAGAACTACAAAGAAAAGGCCCTTGACATTGACTCTGATGAAGAGTCAGAACCCAAGGAGCAGAAGTCAGATGAAAAAATAGTGATTCACCATAAGCCACTGAGATCCACATGGAGTCAGCTCTCTGCAGTGAGTTTCCCATCTTCTTTTCTCTCTGCTGGCGTGAAAACACCTAGTTGTGGATATTGTGTGTGGATGTGGCTTTACTTTTTTCTTCCTAGTGATTCTGTAACCCTAAATAGAAAGACTTTTCTTTTTAGATTGTGAAATATTTCTTGAATTCTGTAGGTGCTTGTGACCACATGAACTTTGGAAGCTCTGATCAGGAAAATCAAGGTTTATTAAAAAAAAAAAAGTGCATGAGATTGATGTACTATGAACTCTGGGAGCTTTTCCTTCTCAGTATCTTTTCTTGTTTTTAGTTTAATTTTGCTTTTTTAAATAAAGTGTATTTGTGGTGGTAACGTTATGTATTCTGAACTTAATCATAGTTATGGCTGTATGTTCTTGTATTTGTGTATCTGCATGAAAGGGAGCTTATTACAGTTCCCAAAAATTTCATTTGCTGTAGACTCATTGATATTTTCATATTTTTTAAAGATATATTTTTGTTTATTAATGCATGTAAGAACTAAGGTGTAGACCAGAGGTGCGGGGGATGAGAGGATTTACCAGAGGCAGAGTGGGGAGCAGAACAGGTGAATCTACTGAAATATGCTGTTGAGGGGAGCAGTGGGTGAGACAGGGGAGGTCTGCTGGGCTATGTGGGTCACCTCCCTGGCCGGGGATCGAACTTATGCTGCAGTGGCTGGTGATAGCTTGATAATGCTGAGACTTTAACCCCTGTGGCACCAGGGAAGCCTTTTTTGATATTTTCTTAAGCTTGATTAATGATGGCATCTGTTCCATCTTCCTCTGTTCATCTTTTGTATGCAACTGTCTGACACTTATGTTTATATTGAGTAACTTCTCATCTCTACATCAAACATCTGTTGTTTTTAGCTTTAATTTCTTTTTCTCGTGGTTTACCAAATGCCATGGTGTGATACTGAGTTTATTTGATATGAATTTGGGCACAGCATTTGTGGGCATCCAGTGCATTAACCTGTAGAAAGGAATTTCCATGACTGACTTAGACGATATGGGAGCAAAAGCAATGCCCTCTTCATCTGAGGTGAGGTTCTTCAGTCAGGAATGTCATGTATTTAGGAAGCTCACCAACATCACAAAGGAGTTGTGTGTGTGGGAGCTAACATCAGTACTATGGGAATGTGTGTTTGTTGGTGAGGAACTTCTGGTTCAGGCTTTTTTACCCTGTGGGGAATTTAGAAGACTAGAAACCGTACCCTTTGTTTCTGTCTCCCTCCCACCCCTGATTTTGTTCTGAGGAGAATCTATTCATGTCCAGTGCTTCTGAGACATGGTATAAGGAGTATTGTGCCACAGACTAAAATTCCTCCATAGCTGGGGCAAGTTACATGAAAAAGTGATGCTGGTAAGTGGAGGGAGGCCAGAGGTGGGGACAGTGGTGAACAGGCCTTATATAAACTGATCAGCTGCCACTTAGCTCAAACCAGCCAGATGCTCCTGAAATTTAGAAAAGAGAATATAGACATCCAGACTTATGTATTTTAAAATTGTTATAAGAGCCCAGCAAGATATCTATGGGCCAAACTTGTTGCCTGTGCTAATGGTTTGCAAGTTCTATTACATAGTTAAGGTTTTTACCTGTGGTAATGCAGTGGTCTCTTACTGGCATATTGGTAACTCGACACCCTAATCTGATGTTCCCCTGCTAGGTATACTCCCAAGCAGGAATTTGGAAAACTGGTGACCAGGCTGAGAGGCTGTGCCAGCTGTGCATGGCTGCAATTCTGTTATTGCTGTGGATCATCTGGTAGCGGATCCTCAAGAATTCTGTGGATTTTTTTCCTGTGGTCTCTCTCTGGAGCAGATGCATTAGCACAGGCCTAAATCCTTCCATGGTTGTCTGAACAATGAATAGAAATGTGTACTTCTGTGTCACTACACTCTGGCCCAATTTAGCGGTAGCACTAAAAGTTGGGTGGCCATATTCGTGCCTTCTGGAACCTGGCTCTCATGTAGAATAGCCTGTGCACATGCATGGAAGGTAATGCTGCATATCCTGAACAGTTTCAAATATGGACATGCCTTTTATTTGACAACAGATAAGTGTACCCACGTGCCTTTTGTTAGTAAGGTTAATATCAAAAGACTATCTTGTGATAAAATGGAAACCACAAAGTGGGTTCTAACTTAGTGTAGGCTATCTTGGGGTTGATTGTTCCGAGGAGGCTTGTGTGTGTTTATTGTGTTGCTTGGAGATTACATGTAATCAAAGCAGCACAATTGGACTTTGCTACTCTCTATTAGGCCCTAGCCTGTATTTTCTGTGTGCCTTTTATGTTTCCTCTTCACTTCCAAATGTTTTACTCCCAACTTTTTGTCCTACAGTACTTTGAACAAGCAGAAAATTTTTTAAATAAGTAGGTGTAATTGATTTCTGGGTACAGGCCTCCCAGATGGTACAGATATTAACATTTTAACATATTTGCTTGAAGTTTCTAATTTTTCAGACAGGTCCAGTTACCCACCCTGTTCTTCAGTTCTTTTCTTCCTGCCTCTGCAGAGCTAACTTGTATCCTGAAGTCTTCTTTTGTCCTACTCACATGGGTTCTTTGTCAATCAAAAAGATGCAAGCAGATCTCTGGCTTTTAGGAATATATGTTTTAACAGCAAAAGCAGCCTTTTTTTTGAAGCTTAGCAGTTAGTTAGTATGTTCAAGTTGCAGTTAGGACCCTAAAGACAAGCAGCTTCCTAAATTATTGACAATGTCAGGATATTTTCCATAAGTCATTGGCACTTGGATTTTCTTCTGACCTCATGCATGGCCTTACCCTTCCTTTGGAGTGGCTGCCATGCTGAGAGCAGGTCTCTAAAAATTGCCTTCTATATGGTTTTGCATCATCTCCGTGCTTAGCTTTTATTATACCAGGTAAATAGGGGAGCCCCCATCCGATCTTGCATATATCACTTTATTTTTTTTAAGATTTATTTATTTTTATACAAGAACTGGGGTACAGGCCAGAGGCGCGGGAGGGTGAGAGGATTCACCGGAGACAGAGTGGGAAGCAGAACAGGCAGATGACAGAAATACACTGCTAAGGGGAGCAGCGGGTGAGACAGGAGAGGTCTGCTGTGCCATGTAGGATTCTTACCAGCCGGCGGGGATCGAACCGACACTGCAGAGGCTACGGAGAGCTTCACAACGCAGGACTCAACCCGCTGCGCCACCAGGGAGGCCCACATATATCACTTTAAAACAAAACTCTTCAAATGGAACCTTGATCCCAGAAAGAGAGTAGGACAAGGTGTTTTCTGGCCAAAGAAATGGCATCTACCTTGACTTTCTACTGGGAGTGGTGTGTGTGAGCACACGTATGTATGAGCTGTTGACCGTTTTATTATTTTTTTTAATCTCTTATCTTTGTTGCAAACACCTGCCTGCCTCCTGGGATGATGATAATTTTCTTATCAATTGACTTGTTGGAAGGCTCTTTAGAAGTCTAGCAATTTGCAGTCATTGTGGTTCTGGTGGTTACATAGGTCTTCAAGCCTCCAGTCTGTGGTGTCATTTTTCTCGGTGTGTTTGTCTTTGCTCTATCTCCTCTGTTCCACTGGACAGCCATACAGGTGCAGGCAGCACAGTGCTGGAGACAGGTGAAACTCTAGGGTGGTGGTCTTTGAGAAGTAAAGGAAAGAGAACTGTGAAGAGACGCCTCAGTTATGGACCTGAATAGATTAATGACCATTTAAGCTATTACAGACTTTGTGAATAGGACTAAAGTGAATTCCTGGTGGATGTGTTGAAGGGTGTCTGTTCCAAAGATTCTCCAGACAGAGCTGGGGTGTTCTCTAGTAATCAGAAGCATGACCTGGGCTCTTTAATTTCTTAAGATGATGACGGGCTTCCTCATCATTCTCTTGGTTTTCAAAGTATATGACCATTCTGAATTGGAAATAAAGGATTTCCAGGGAAGGTAACTTTGTGCTGATTCTTAGGTTGTGGGGAGTGCTAAGGTAGGAGAAATAATTTAAATGATCCTGGTTTCCAGGTTTTGCTTGATCGTCGTGGAAGGGATTAGAGGTTTTGAACTTGAAAAGTCGTTTTTGGCCTCTAGAAATCTGTGTATATGGGTGTATCTGGCTCAGTGAGTCACTTCAAATAGCAGCGTCAGAACTTAGCCAATAGTTCTTGAGTCTCTGGGAAAAGCTTGGGGGTTTGAAAAAAAATATTGATTGTATTGTTACTCTGGGATAGAGCACTAAGTAGGTGTTACCATTAATGCCAGATATGTGGACAGCTGAGCCCTGGACACAAAGTGGTTCATCCTGTGCATGAAACTGTGGTTTAATTTTTAAGGGGATCCCAGATATATCTCCAATATTAAGAAAATAAAAAGCAAATCTTGACTGGAGTCTTTTTGATTTTACATTGTCCTCCCTCCCCCAAGATTACATGTGCTGAAAAATGGTGGTTGTGAAACCAGTGTTTGTTTTGCTAAGTTCAGTGACAGTGGCGCAGCCATGCTTGCCAGCTGTACCTGACCCTGTGTGTTTGCCATGGGGTGTGTTTGTGTAACTTTCATCCCCTTGAAATACCAGGTACGTTTGAAAAGGGTGTTCAGACTCCAGAGGCGAAAACAAGCACTGGGACATACTTTCCACTTGAATTCAACACCTAATATAGTCATCCTTACTGTACGTTTCCTTTGTACTGGCTGATGTGTGGCTGTATCAAGAGTCACACATCATTTTCAACATTTCTTTCAGTTTGTTCAAACATTTTAAACTGTTTATTTAGGGACAGTTTTTTATATTTTCATCCAGCTCTTTCTTGATCTGTGCTTAATATGGCTAATGTTATCACAGAAGCTCTAGAATTAGAATCTTGGCCTCCTGAGTCCCGAGCTCAGCTCTTAAAGCACATATAATTTGGATAACATTCTGGAAACTTGTGTAAGAAAGGATGGTTTTAAAACCGGCAATTTTATTATAAATATAATTTTATTCCCTTCAAAATATAAAAGGCACTTTGGAGACTTAGC